ACCGGTAGAGCTCCACCATAGCCAAGGTGGAAGCTCCCGGCTTCTTCCTCCCAGCAGCGCTGTAGTACCCAGCACCACTCCAGCCAGCGCTCCAGCAGCGTGTCGCCAAACTTGCACACTGAAGAATGAGGCCGAGCTCTTGCCTCGGCCTCTTGATATAGCAGCCTGCTTGCCTCTTGGGCGGTGACTTCCAGGCCGCTCAGACTCCCAAGCAACCGGTACCTCCTCCCTTTCGGAGGGAAACATCATTGCAGTTCTTTGCGGGCTGTACACTAATTTTGCTTGTTGTTGTCTGTCCTTGAGCTCTCCGGGACTTGACCCCACGACATGTAAATGGTATGTTTGGTTTGTTAGCTTTGAGCCGTACTTGGCTTGATCCTTAGATCTGTAGCTCGTAGTCTCTATTTGGCAGTCTTAGACCCTTAGGCCTCACTATTTTGTCATTTTCTGCAGTCGCTGAAGTCGGTAGGCCCGTAGGCCTTTCTTTTGTGGTAGTAGATTTGGTCCCTCTCTAGTCTATGTTTCTGTCTAGATGCATGTATGTCGACAGGCCGTAGATTTTGACTGTTTGGGCGATCAGATAAGAGTTGCTGCTCGGTCTGTCTTAGGGCTAGGAAAAAGTGGAGTTGCAGTAGGCTGGGCCCGACAAGCGGCGAGTTCTGTTTTCTTCATTTTTTTTTCACGAAGTGAATGAAGGTCGCGTTCATGCTGCTGTGTTAATTTTGGACCTGCGCAGCTATCTGCATCATGTTGGTATGCTGGCAGCCATAGCTGGGCCAGCCAGCTTCCACGAGAGCAGTGCCTGGGTTACAGGCCCTGTGCCCTGTAGAGGCGCCTCCTCATCTGTGCCTGCGAAGCAGCTCTTCCATGAGGTCCTTCGAGAGTGGCAGGCTCCATCTTCATTGTCCTGGAGTTCTTCTTCTTCGTCCAGGAGGCTACTCTCCCCTGTTGAGAGGGCACTTCGTCTGCAGTGGGCATCGTGATTGGACTGCTGAATGCCGTGTTGGGTTCAGGAGGGTTGGGGGCGACTGATGGGCTGTTGGGTTGGGCGCTATGCTGCACCATAGCTAGAGCGTGACTGGACTCCCATATATTTTGATGAAACTTGTGTAAATAATTGGTTCCTGGGTGTTAATAACATGGTTGGGATTCTTGGGAAAAACAGTGTGTTGATTGGCTGGAGGGAGAGGGGTATGAATTAGGATTTGTTAATTTCAATTCTATATTTGGCTTGGAGTGCTTCTGCTGTGTATGCTCTCACCTTGTGGGGTGTGATTTGCTCTCTCCAAGATCTCTTGTATTTCACGTGGATGGGAACGTGTGGATGCCATGCTGTATCTCGTTTCAATCAGGCACGTAACAGCAGTACTATTCTATTGCTGTCTGTCAGGTGTCAGCAGTCCGTAAACACCTGAACTAATCAAAATAAAAATAAATCCCTTGCATAGATGCATGTGAAATGGAAATAACAATAATATTAAGCGAGCACCAATTGGAACCTTCCCTCTCCTGTGTCCTACGTCCTGGCTACATCAATTAAGCAGCGGTGGCTATGGTGTGCACAACAGCCCACCCTTGTGCCCAGGTGATGAAGAACAAGCCAGCCCAGTCCGTACTGCTTTTATCCTCGCGTACAGCGCGAGTCGGTTTCCCCGCAGGAGTATCTTAAAGTTTAATGACGGTCCGATGCACGTGAATCCCCCATAAGGCTCACCTGCCGAACACCCCTCTATGCGCAGCAAGAGCTAAAAAGACAATGCAGCAAAGCATGCGTCCTCTACTCCCTTGGGTTGGCATGGTGACTGTGACCGGTGCTTCGTCCACGGCCCTTCAGAAGCACCACTCTCTCTCACCAGATGTGCCACCAGGAAGTATGTCAACTCTCAAGGTAGAGCGCTCACGAGTCCTAACCAGAAGAGGACTCTCAAGCCGAACTCTCTTCCTCACGGTAAGATAGGTGTTGTACGATGGGAAGATAAGACAAGGAACAATGTACCTGAGGATAGCGGTCCCCAACCACAGATTCTCACCATTTGAGTTGACGGCCTCGGTACCAACACAACGCAATGCAGTGCCTCCTCAGCACAAATGCCATGTCAGCATGCCCTCATCATTCCACATGCATCTGCTGTTGCCATAGTGTTCGAGCCCACTCCCCACTACCCGTGAGGGAGTCCAATCAGGAAGAAGAGGGTTGGCGAGGAAGACGAGCCGGCAGCCATAGCTGACCGGAGGGTTGACCAAGAGGGTTGATCGGAGGTGTTGACCGGCGGTTACCGGAGTTGACCGGGGGTTGACCGGGGCTGATAGCAGCGTTGACCGACGTTGACCAAGGCGTTGACAAAGACTTTGACCAAGCTGGAGCCGGTAGCATCTCGCCAAACCTTCAGCCTACCCCTCGCCCTATGGATGTGCACACACCCCTTGGTACTTGCTGAGTCCAGTCTGTCTGTCTATTCTTTCTGCATCGAGTCTCTTCTGTCCTAGGTGATAGTACTCTGTGGATGAAGGATAGGGGCTTGTTGACCAAACCCACACGGGATGAGTAGGGCTAAAAGCTGTGTCTGACGACTTGACTGTCCCGGAGGTCAAACCCTCCCAAGGACCGGTACTGACCAGCGGGCTGCTCGGTGTGGCACGGTAGGCCCGAAATCCGAGCTGTGGGCTGCACAACAGACAGTCTAAGTCTTGAGAGACCTGCTGATCGCGTCGTCCTGTCTGCACGTTAAATAATTCCTGAGGAGTTCGGGGGATCTCCTTAAATGCCTCCTGATCAGCAACAGGTCTAGTAGTGACAGCCATAGTTAGGTCCAGGCTAGAGACCCTAGTTAGCAAGATCCCTGTCCGGATTCTGTGAGTCCTTAGATTTTGTCAGTCAGGGGTTATAACTTAGAAGTCTACGTGGTGAGGTTTGGAACCGTTGACCCGGTTGTGCACTAATCACCATGGTTGACACCCGGAGTGGGAAGAGCACTAGCCCCTACACCCAGGAACAGCAAGAAAAGATGGTCGCCCTAGTGAGAGAAAACAAGGAGAGGAAGGAGCTCGAGAAGTAGGCGAAGCTAAAGGCTATCGCCGAGGAGCAGGCGGCGAAGATGAAGAGATTGGAGAAGGAGATGAAGAGAGTTCAGAAGGAGGAGGAAGAGAGAAGAAAGGCTGCCGAAGAAGAAGCGGCAGTAGAAGAAGAAAAAGAGAGAATGCGTATTGAGAGTAGAGAGGGGAGCAGTGGCACGAAGAGGGATACAAACACAGAGATGAAGAAGAGAATAAGTGAGTGGGTCGCTAATTTATCGTTGGGAGAAGATGAGGAGGCGGAGTCGTACGTGACTCAGGATGAGAGACATGCGCTAGCCAGTGAGCTAGCAGCCATGGGGGACCTTATGGAACGGCGAGAAAGGGAGGAGGAGCAGAAGTTGGCATGGAAGTTAAGGATGAAGAGGGAGAAGAAGAGGAGGAGAGAGGAAGTAAACAAACTGACCGCAGAGGTGGCGAAGGTGCAGGAGTGTAGGAAAGAAGTGGAGGCCCAAGCAGACGACAAGGCCAAATGGGATAAGGTGTTGGGCTACCTAGAGGTGTTGAGCAGAGCATGGATGGAGGAGCGCCAGACTGGTTGGAGCCAAGAGGTAGCCCTGAGTGCCATGCGGTCGGGATTTAGAGACTTTGCGCGCGAGATCGTCACCCACATTTGGGGCGAAGTCAGGCAACTGAGGGATAACGTAGGGAAGTTTTGTGAGGGCGCCATTGAGGATGCCAAAGCGATAGTCGCTGTAGAGGGCGAGGCTAGACCCCGTAAAGAGCCTGTAAAGCTTAAGTTCCCAGATGCGTACGGGGGAAAGAAGGAGGAGAACTTTGACAACTGGGAGACCAATGTCAATAGTTACATATATCTACAGCACATCCTGACAGAGGAACAAGTCCTCGTGGCCTTCCAGGCCCTTAAGGATGAGGCGGCTAGTTTTGCCAGGTCCCTTGCACGCGCAGCCGGTTGTGAAAACAACCTGATTGCGTATTCAAAAGTCACCCCCCTTTCTCAATTCTTCAAGCTCCTGAGGGAGCGATTCGCTGATCCAACGAGAGGCATCAGGGTATCTGATAAGTTACAAACGATCCACTCGCGACAGTGGAGGAGTGCAAGAGCACTCAAGGGCACTATGGACGACTTGGTAGCCGTCCCAGACCATGGGGTCACTGAGACCCAGTTGGTCCAATTATTTTATCGTGCCATACCAGAGCCCTTGCGTGGGCACTTCTTTGAGAAGTCTCAACAGGCCGGCATCACTTATGATGCATTGAGTAGAGAAGTCGTCCTGTTTGAGTCAAAGTCCATGCAAGTTTCCACTTTCTGGCACAAGGACTTGGACAAGGGAAAAAGGTGGAAAGGCCGTACCATCTCAGGCCAGGTGAGGGCCAAGGATCGCATGATCCTTACTTTAGAGGAAGGTGGTACTGATGAGGTCCCATACAGTCAGATTGAGTGGGGCCTAGAGGAGGAGGACAGTAGCGTGGGACAGGGGAGGTCCTATGCTGCTGTTGCAGCTGGAGGGAGGCCGCTAGTTAGAGGAGGAGGCCAGGGCCAAAGGGGCCAGGCCATGGGAGGCCGAGGACCGGGCGCACAGGGGGTTGGCGGACAAGGAAACTGCCAAGTGGGAGATAGGGGTCAAGGTCCCCCGCCAAATCGCCAAGGTTCTTGTCGGTCCCCACAACGACGAGGTGGAAGGGCACCTCAAGGAGGATGGCACCCAGGCTTGCCACAGGGTAGGCCTTGGGAAGACTTGAGCTTGGACCAGCGCGTATGGCAGGAATGCGTGAACTTGGGTCAGTGCGTGTTTTGTGGTGACCCGACCATGTAATTAAATTTTGTCCACAGTATAGACAGCCCCGTTGGGCTGCCTAGCAGTCAAAAGGCAGCCGCCAGCAGGGGTCGCAACTGCCCCTACTTTAAGGCCATGTGGAGAAGTGAGCGTGCGCGAACAGGACACTCCCAACCCACATGAGCCTATGGCAGAGGTTGTAGGCCCGTGCCTAGCTAGCTGTCCGGAGACTGTTTGTGTTAGCGTCTCTCTCGGCACGTCCCTCACAGGTGTGGCCGAAGAGTTAAAGGAGAGGATGCCCGCCTGCCAAAATGAAGAAGGAGAGTAAAGGACAACTAACCTTGGTAGACGTAGAGGTGTTTAGAAGTAGAGTAGGGGCCCTTATAGACTCAGGGGCCACCCACAGTTATATTAGCCGTAGGGCGCTGAAGAAGTTGAGGCTAGGACTAAAAGTCCAGAAGTTAGCAGACCCCATAGTCAGTGTCCTCGCAGACAACCGCACAATGCGTGTTGAGGACTATGTAGAGGGAGTCCAGGCGTACTTTCGCCTAGAGAAGGATGGGAAAGTGGAGAAAGTTCTCCATTCCCTGACTCTCCTCGTACAGGATGACCTTCCTTTCGACATAGTGTTAGGAATGGATTGGGGAGAGGCAGCAAGGGTCACACTCCATTTGAGAGAGCATGAGTGTAGGCTCCCTGGTCCATCAGGCGAGGTCAAGACTGCCCGCCTGTTTCATGTGTCAGGTGTAGATAACACCTTGGCACATTGCTGTCTCAGTGCTCCCGCGTTTGCGCGATTAGTGAAGAAGGAGCGATTAGAGGAACAGGTCTTTGTACTCTATGTTAGACATGTCACTGAGGCCAAGGAAGAAGATACTTCCATAGATCCAACAATTGCCAAGCTGCTGGAAGAGTTCAAAGATTTGACTGAGTCGCCGACAGGAGTAGTGCCGCGACCCGTCTAGCACAGGATAGAGATAGAGCCTGGTAGTAGAACTCCTAAGGGAGCAGTCTACACGATGTCCCCCAGAGAGTTAGAGGATTTACGCAAGCAGTTAGACGAACTCTTGGAGAAAGGTTGGATCAGGCCCAGTTCGTCTCCTTTTGGAGCACCAGTTTTGTTTGTCCCCAAGAAGGAAGGAGAGCTTCGTATGTGTATAGACTATAGGGGTTTAAATGCGATTACTGTGAAGAATGTTAAACCGCTGCCCAGGATAGACGATCTCTTAGATCGGGTGCAGGGTTGTAAGTATTTCTCAAACATAGATCTGAAGTCCAGTTATCATCAGATAGAGGTCCATCCTGATGACCAGTACAAGACTGCGTTCCAGACTAGATACGGGCACTATGAGTTTATCGTGATGCCCTTTGGACTAACCAACGTGCCAGCCACCTTTCAGCGTTGTATGAATGATCTGTTTAGACCATGGTTAGATAAGTTTGTAGTAGTTTATTTAGATGATATCTTAGTTTTTAGTAAGACCCTCCAGGAGCACCAGGGTCATCTGAGGCAGGTCTTGGAGAAGTTGAGAGAGTCAAACTTCAAGATCAACGCGAAGAAGTGCGAGTGGGCCAAGACACAAGTCCTGTACTTGGGCCACGTATTAGACGGAGATGGCATTAAGCCAGAGGACAGCAAGATAGCGGCAATTAGAGACTGGCCGACGCCCCGCACATTGACAGAGTTGCGGTCGTTCCTAGGCCTAATTAACTACTATAGAAAGTTCGTCAGGAACTTCTCTACTATCGCCGCTCCCCTGCGCAGGTTGCTTAAGAAAGAAGCAATCTGGCAATGGGACAACGATTGTACATCTGCGCTCAAGAGACTCAAGTGCGCACTAATAGAGTACCCTGTCCTTAAGGTAGCAGATCCGTCCTTGCCATTTGTCGTCACCACGGACGCGAGTCAGTATGGAATAGGCGCTGTGTTGCAGCAGGATGACGACAATGGCTATAGACCCGTAGAGTTCATGTCCGCGAGGATGCCCTCAGAGAAGGTAGCCACCTCGACGTACGAGAGAGAACTCTACGCTCTCAGGCAGGCTCTAGACCACTGGAAGCATTACTTGCTTGGGAGGCACTTCAAAGTGTATTGTGACCATGAAACACTTAGATGGTTAAAGACTCAGGCCAAGATGACACCTAAGCTGACTAGGTGGGCCGTAGAGATAGACCAGTATGACTTTGAGCTCAAGCCAGTGAAGGGCAAGTACAACGTAGTTGCGGACGCTCTGAGTAGGAGATCAGACTACTTTGGAGCCATAGTACATTATCTGGATATAGGAAGAGACCTGCAAGAGAAAGTGAAGCAAGCGTATGCGCAGGACCCTATCTATAGCGACCTCCTAAAGAGAGTTAGAGAGGCCCCAGAGACTGAGCCAGATTACCGCACTACTGAGGGATTACTATTTGAGAAGACCAATGTGTTTGGCCGTCTATGCGTTCCCAACAACGAAGAGATCCGCAGTGTGATTTTAGGGGAATGCCACGATACTGAAGGACATTTCGGTTGGCAAAAGACATTAGCCAATCTGATGCGTGCGTACACCTGGCCAGGAATGAAGAATGACTGCGTAGAGTATGTCCGCAGTTGTAAAGTGTGCCAGAGGAATAAGACTACTACATGCGCGCCCCTAGGTCTTCTCAGACCCTTGCCTATTCCTGATCAGTCGGGAGACTCAGTGTCCATAGACTTCATGGACACCCAAGTTAAGAGCAGACATGGTAAGAGCCAAGTCATGGTCATAGTTGACCATTTTAGCAAGTATGTCGTTTTTGTTCCCTTGCTTGCAGAGGCACGAACGGACTTAGTTATACAGAAATTCTTTGACTTTTCGGTTAGTGGGAATGGAATCCCATTGTCAATAGTTAGCGATAGAGACAGTCGTTTCACCAGCCAGAACTGGCAAGAACTCATGAGAGTTTACGGATCTAAGCTATTGATGTCGTCTGGCCGCCATCCAGAGACAAACGGTCAGACTGAACAGATGAACAAGATCCTACAACAAGTTTTGCGCATGTACATTAGACCTGACCAGATCAACTGGGATGAGATGTTGCCCAAAGTAGCTAGTGCGTACAACAACAGTGTGCATCTATCCACCTGCCGCACTCCCAATGAGCTGCACAAGTCCTTTAGACCGCGCAGACCATTCGAAGGAGTGAACCGGGATCAAATACACAGGCTACCGCCTGGTACCAGGGAGTTTGCGATACAACACGAGAAAGAGCTAACAACAGTTGTAGAGAACCTCAGGAAGGCCCAGCATAGAATGCTAGAACAGGCTAATAAGCACCGTCGCCCGTCGCAGTTTCAGGTAGGCGACTTAGTCTGGGTCAAGGCTAAAGAGTTTGCACCTGAGGAAAACATCTCGCAGAAGCTACTGCCTGCGTATAGTGGACCGTGGCCGGTTCTAGAAGTCAAGGGCGGAGAGGATGGACCGTCCTACACTATAGAGATTCCAGCACACCTCCACACATACCCTGTGTTTCATGCTTCAAAGCTGTTGCCGTGTGTCACAAGTCAACAGTTCCCTTCAAGAAGATCCATGATCCCCCCGGATATGGATGGAAGCTATGACATTGACGGCATTGTAGATGAAGATGTCTTTAGAACAGGAGGTAGAGGTCGTCCACAGAAACAGTATAAGGTCCGGTTTCCTTATCAGGAACCGGAAGACGACCGCTGGTTCACAAAAACAAAACTTCTAGAAACAGCTCCCGACATAGTCAGAGCCTATGAGTGTGATAAGAAGGGTAAAGGCCCTGCCTTGGACTAAGATGTTCTCGGAGGACCTCGAATTTAGGAGGGCGGGAGTGAAACGGTTTTCACCTCTTCCAGTAACAGATGCAGATCCCAGGGCTCGATCCCTAGACCTCACCCTACCCATGTACAGTATATGTGTAGACCCCGAGAGTTGAACCTGTGACCTGTGTATTCGTAGACAGTTGGTAGGTCTGTCATAGGTCCATAGGTAGCAAGGGTTCGATCTGTAGATCTATAGAGTAGAAGTCTTAGCGAGTTCCAGAAGTCTAGCTGTAGTCCTTCTAGAAGGTAGGTAAGTGGGCAAGTGGGCAAGTGGCGAGTCAAGTGGTGGACTAAACTGCAGTGCAATCGCAGTCCGACCTTGGTAGGATAGCAGCGAGTCCACAGTCAGTCAGCGGTAAGGTCCAATCAGTCCCAGTCCGGTCCAACAAGTACCACGGGGAACTGTGAGCACCATGGGCCGATGGCAAAGGGCAGGCCAACGAGTTTCCAAAGTATAAATCAAGAGGCAGCGCCCAACCTTTCATTCATTCCTGCGTGAGCCATGCGGAAGCGTTGTCATAGCGACTTGTGCAAGGAGGTCTGCAGTGAGCCCGGAGGACGCAGTGGGCGAGAGGAGGAGCTTAGTATAGCGATAGGGTAGAGGCAGCCATAGCTGCCATAGCTGTAGTTTAGTGTGAAGTGTGTGTGTGTATGTGTGAGTATTCAGAGTTAAACGTGTGGGATATCCAGGGTGATCCAGTGTGTGTGAACAGTGAGTTGTTTGGGCGCTGAGTCGCCATAGCCAATTGGAAGTGAACTCGTATCTGGATACCATATCTCTGAGTTTTGAGTAGGTGCATGTCGCCAGTTTGCTGCGCTGCTGTTTACATGCATGAAAAGTGTGAATGAGAACGAGTCTGATTGCAAATCAGCCAGCGTCAAAGTATCCTTACTGCGGAGAAGCTTTGTCAGCGCACCAAGTAACCAACACACCAGCACCAGTATGGCGATCTGAACCAGCTCTGATACCAAATTGCAAGGAAAATGAGTGAAAGTGATAGACAGAAATCCAAATCGCATTATCACGCTGAAGACCAGATAGTTGTGTACCAAGTAGACAGCGCAATGCACCAAGATACAAGCCAAACAAGAGCAATACAATGAGCTCAAATGTCAATGTCGGCCCTCTCTTGCCACACCAACATAGAATTCAATGTCGCCCTTCTTGATTGGTGCTCAGTGTCCAGCCTATCCTACAACGCCTACTCTAGCCTACGCTATGATATGCAACAGGAGTCACTTTACGCTGAAGACCAATGTATGTGACAAAGTCGCACATGCAGACTGCCGCATACACCAGGTAGGTGTCTCTCCTTGTTCTCCAACCTCCCACTTAGTATCCCCTCTCCCGACGATCACCATCGCGGATACTAGCACGTGTGCAGCCAGCAGGGTTGTCAGGCTGGGGCCCCCGGGGGCAAAGCTGGGGTAGGGGTTTGACCCCCGGAACCCCACAGGGGGGGTGCCGCACCCCC